CGCCAAGTGCAGGCCTACCTGGGGAGGGCCGCACCCATCCCTGACATCAGCTCCAGCCAGTGACATATTGGAGGATGCATCTGCTGAGCAGCCCTTCCCCCTGCGCCATTTTTCTTAGCCCCCAGGACAACGTGGACTTCTAGGCTCCAGAGCGCCTCATTCATTCCTTCAGTAAACATCTCCTGAGCATCTGTTATATTTCAGGAGCTGCTCTGGGCATTTGGAGGTTTTCTTCTGCAGGAGAAGTAGAAAGTCCCTGAAAGGGAAGTTCCGTGGCCATGGGCAGAGCTTTGGTTCTGAAAGACCCCACTGCTCACCACTGTGGGCCGCTGAACTGTACGCTCATGAATGGCTAAGTGGGCAGATGTTGCATGCAGTCTACCAGAATTAAAATCTTTAAAAACTATCCAGCCCCTGTGCTCACTGGTCTCACAACCCCACAGGCGGGGAGAGTGCGAGAGAGAAAGCCAGGTAAAGTCAGGCAGCTGGGAGGGAGCGCTCCCTGCTCAGACAGGGACACAGGGGTACACTTCACTGCAGAGCACGCTTCCCCGCTTCCCCGTGCCAGGGCCAGGGCCAGAAACAACTGGGGAGGAGAGGGTGGATGGACAGAAGCGCTTAGGCGTCCAGTGCGGCCGTTAGAGCATGCTCCCAATGAGCCCCCCTGAGCCTTCTCCCTGCTCATTCTTCCCACACGCAGATCCAGGGCGGAGCTCTTGGCACCATGAACCCCGCCATTGGCATCGCGCTGCTGCTGACAGGTACCGGGCAAGGGGCCGGGCTGGCCTCCCCGTCTCAGCCTCAGAAAGCGGGGGACGGAGGGAGGGGGGCTTCGCACATCCCAGGTGGACTGATCAACCCAGCTGACCCGACCACCTGCCTGCCCCAGGAGGTTCAGGAAAGGCCGCTGGCTGAGCCCTGCCCATCCTAGTGAATTGGAACCTGCAAAAGGGAGCCAGGAGCCCAAGCTCTCCTGCCGTTGCCACTCGCTGCTGATGGGTCCCAAGGCTTCAGCAGACCGGGGAGGAAGGCTGGAGTCCACAGGGGGAGTTGGACTGGCCCCTGGGGACTCCCGGGGTCACACAGGATGCCTCTGCAGCCAGGCCCACCTCTGTCCATCGCGTGGGAGGGTGGGCCCCTGCCCCCAAGGCTCTCCCCCAATGGGGCGGGGACGCCGCTGGTGGCAGTCTTGCAGGTGTCCCGAGGGCAGAAGGTGACCAGCCTGACGGCCTGCCTGGTGGACCAGAGCCTGCGCCTGGACTGCCGGCATGAGAACACCACGAGCGTGCCCATCCAGCACGAGTTCAGCCTGACCCGCGAGAAGAAGAAGCACGTGCTGCATGGCACGTGGGGCGTGCCCGAGTACACGTACCGCGCCCGCACCAACTTCACCAGCAGGTACAACATCAAGGTCCTCTACCTGGCCAACTTCACCACCAAGGACGAGGGCACCTACACCTGCGAACTGCGCGTCTCCGGCCAGCCAACCCAGAGCTCCCACCAGAACGTCTCTGTGCTCAGAGGTGAGGCGAGCCCCCGACAAGGCCAAGCAGGCAGGCGGCGCCCTTGGCTGGGCCTCGCCAGCTCCCAGCCGCTGCCGGGTCCCTTGGGGAGTCCTTGACCTCTGCGACTGGAGGGAGGGGCTGCCTCCCCAGTCTTCCCTGCCTGGGAAATGGAGACGACACAGGCCGTCTCTCACCTGCAGTCTTGTGCTGCGGTTCAGCAGGGTTCCCCTAAGCCGCCACGTGTTCAGGGGCTCCCACCATGGCCAGGTTGGTCCTGGCTGCAGCTCAGACATGCCAGTGCCTGCCTCCCAGAGGGAGTCCTGGTCCCTTCCCTCACCACGTTCTCTCTCCACAGACAAGCTGGTCAAGTGCGAGGGCATCAACCTGCTGGCTCAGAACACCTCGTGGCTGCTGCTGCTGCTGCTCTCACTGTCCCTGCTCCAGGCCACGGATTTCATTTCCCTGTGACTGGTTGGGCCCGTGGAGGATCCAGGAAGCCTGGAGGCCCAGTGCAGAGATCCTGCTTCTCTGAGGCTGCTGACCCCCAACCCCAACCCCTCGCACAGCTGGGGGAGAAGCGGGGACCCCGCCCCTTATAAGGAACCCCAGTGCTGCATGCCATCTTCCATGCCCGCACCCCGCCTCTTCACCCTGTCCGCACGCTGCCAGAGGTCTCATCGTCCTCTTTTTCCCAAAGCTGCTTCTGTCTGATTTGCTTAGGGCTTATCCTTGTGTCCTGCGGGCGTTTATGACAAGGGAAGCCAGGACGGGGAACTGATGAAAAGTGAGGGTGGGGGAGGGGCAGTGGATAGAGGGGGCCCACCAGGAGCAGAGAAGTCTGGGAGAGACCTGGATGAGGAGGGGAAGGGGCTAGCCTGGCCCAGCACAGCCCTGCTCTGGCCAAGGCACCACCTCAGCAGCCAGGAGAGCACTTCAAGACCCAGATGCAAGGGCACCGCCACGCATGTGTGGCCCGGCACGCATCTCCAGGAATGATCTCAGCTGGAAAAAAAATGACTGGCCCTTGCCACTCCACAAGTCCCCCAGGGACCTGGGGCCAGGGACTCCACTTGCCAAGATGCAGACTTGGCCAGAGGACGGGGTCCGAGGGTCCATCGTCACCCCTGCCCAAGGCGGCTAGAAGCGGGAGCCTGCGTCCCTCACTGCGTGGGCCAGCCCTGTCAGGGTGGCAGAGGACGGCAAGCCTCCTCCCTGGCTGCCCCAAGCTCCCAAGAACCTCCGGAACCCTGACCTGGAGCTGCCAAGTCAGGCAGGTAACATCCCAGAGCCTCAGGGAGTGTGACCCAAGTCTCCGGGAAATGTGGGGGAGGGGTCTGCCTTCTCTTACCCATCAGTGCCAGCCCTTGCTGCCCGGGACCTGAGCCTCTCAAGACAGCCCCCTGCCCTTTGCAGAGACCTGTGGGGGGCCTGAGGTGGGCCATGGAGTGAGACCCTCCCAGGGAGATGGTGGCTCCCCCAGCCCCCCACCCCTGCCCCGTGGTCCTGCCTGTCCTGTCCCGTGTGTAGTGCCATCACAGCTTGTGACATCTCACTGAGGAAGAAGAAAACTGCACAATAAAATCAAGTCTGTCCTCTGGCTCTTCTCTGCTTGGCTCCTCTGTGCTCACCCCAGGCTCACCTCCCACCTTAGCCAGGGCTCTCCACCCCCGTCCCCGCCCATGACAGCAGCACCAGCTCTCGGGACACACACAGGGCTGCACACTGTGCTTCTGTGCAGGATGACTCAAACCTGACATATCTGCCCCAATCAGTGAGCGCTCCCTTCTGCTGACTCACCTGGCTGGGACAACACACTCACCTGCCCGCGTGGGGGCCGCACTGCACGGCCTTGGCTCCGGGGGCTCTGGAACGCGCACGCAGCTGTCCGTGGACAGGTGCGGAGGTGTGGGGCCGGTTTTTCTCAGCCCGGACTGTTCCACGCTGTGCTCTCGTGCTGAGCAGAGGGTGCCGGCAGGGGGCAGCCACGGATTCTTAAATGCAAGAGCAACAGCTTTCCAAGGAAGGCACTGGCGTGAGTAATGTCTCCAGGGGAGGAGAGAGGGGGCGCTGAGCCCCATCCCTGGCTCCCTCCCACAAAACCACTGTGTGAAAGGAGCATTAGCCCCCCCCCAAGTCCCTCCCAAGGTAGGTACCCCCCCACACACGTGCTTTCACCAAGGACTTGCAGGAGGCGGCACCTGCGCAGTTTCCTTCAAGGCCAAGATCTAAGTTCCTGCCAGGGGCTCCCATTCTTCTGGCCACCACCCAGTGCAGCCTCTGCTTTGCAGTGGCCCCCTCTGGTGACGATGCCCAAAGAAGGCCAGGGAAGCCCAGGAGGAAGGGAGCTGCAGGGAGCAGCTGGGGCGGGGGCGGGGGGGGGGCATTGAGACCCCGCCTCGCCTTGTGTGCCCTGTAATCAGAGCTGCAAGCGCCGTGCCAAGGAAAGGGATCTTGGCGAGAAGAGACTCCGTGATGGAACGGGGCTCAAGTGCCAGGAACGAGGGCCCCACCCTCGGGCAGCTGCTCAGGGGCAGGCATTTTTATTTTTTAAGGGAATACTATTTAATAATAATAAAAAGAATTTGCCACTGATACATGTTACAGCATGGATGAACTTCAATAATATTGTCCATGAGAGAAGTCAGACACACAGAAAAACACACAGTGCATGAATCCATTTACGTAAATGTCCAAGAAAGGCAAATCTGTAGAGGTAGGAATAAGATTAGTGGTTGTCCGGGGAGGGTGAGGACAGAAAGGGATTTTTTTAACTGTTTATCTGAAAGGCAGCAACAAAGACCTCCCATCCACTGCCTTATTCGCCCATATCCCTGCAATAGCTGGGGCTGGGCTAGGCCAAAGCCAGGAGTCAGAAGCCAGGAACTCACGCAGGGACCCAACTACCTGAGCCATCAGGTGCTGCGTCCCAGGGTGCCCACTGGCAGGAGCTGGAATCGAGAACACAGCCGGGACTTGAACCCAGGTGCGTGGGTATGGGATGTGGCTGTTCCAAGTAGTGTCTTAAAGAGGCAGGCACTTGGGATGCCTACATCCCGTATCAGACAGAGTGCCTGGTTCCAGTCCCAGCCACTCCGCCTGTGATCCAGGTTCCCCCTCAGGGGACATTCTTAAAGGCAGCAGATGATGGCTCAGGTACACAGGTCCCTGCCCCCACGTGGGAGACTCAGATGTGAGTTCTACACTCCTAGCTTTGGCCTGGCCCACAAGCGTTTGGTGAGTGAACCAGCATATAGGAAACCTCTCTCTCCCTCTCTCTCTTTCTCTGCCTTTCAAATAAAATGAAAATAAGTAAATTTTTTCAAAGGTTGAAGCTCCGAGATCCTTCAGGAAGTTACTGGTGGAAGCTCGCTGTAGGGCTCCCGCTGAGGCCGGTGTGCACTCCGGGCACCTGCAGAAGCCACGCCCAGGTGCTGGGGTGGTGGCCTTGCCCTCTAGAGCCAAGCGCAGGACTGAGGCCCCGGGTAGGGAGGGGCAGCTGAGGGCCATGGCCATGGCTGCAGAAAGGCAGGAAAGGAGGGAGGGGAGCAGGCTCTCAGGCCTCCCGCGTGAGCCTGCTGACCAGGAAGGACCATGCAGGGCCAGGGCTGTCGCATGCTTTCAGCGGCACGCCCTGATGGCCATCAGCCCCACTCCAGTCTTGGGGAGGCTGGACATCTGTGGTGACTTGGGTATTTATGGGAGCCCGGGGCCAGCGCGGGCTCCTCTGCACACATGTGCCCCAGACTGCACCCCACCCACCTCCTGGGCCTCCTCACTGCTCTCCCAAGTCCGCCTTCAGCCATCTGTGCCCCTAACTTAGAGCACCAACTCCTTCCTCAGAAGGCCCTCCCTGTGCCCCATTTCTGGATCGCAGTGGTGGTGTCCACGCAGGAGGTCATGGCAGGGTCACCTAGGACCAGGGACACCTAGTGGCAGCAGGCAGAGGGCTCTCCAGGAGGGGGTATGGCACCTGCACTAACACGTGCCGGCCTCCTCACCTCCCCAGCGCCATGGCCCTCTCTTCCCTGAACCTGCAGCTCGTGTGCTGAGAAGGACACGTGTGTGAAAGAAGCCAAGCAGCCAGCGCCACGGCTCACTAGGCTAATCCTCCGCCTTGCGGCGCCGGCACACCGGGTTCTAGTCCCGGTCGGGGCACCGGATTCTGTCCCGGTTGCCCCTCTTCCAGGCCAGCTCTCTGCTGTGGCCAGGGAGTGCAGTGGAGGATGGCCCAAGTGCTTGGGCCCTGCACCCAAGGGAGACCAGGAGAAGCACCTGGCTCCTGCCTTTGGATCAGTGCGGTGCACCGGCCGTGGTGGCCATTGGAGGGTGAACCAACAGCAAAAGAAGATCTTTCTCTCTGTCTCTCTCTCACTGTCCACTCTGCCTGTCAAAAAAAAAAAGAAAAAAGAAAAAAGAAAGAAGCCAAGCGTCATTCCCTCATCGTCCCATGAGCAAACCTGGGGCCTGAGTCCTGCAGAGTCCTGGCAAAGCGGGCTGGTCGACACCTCTGCCCGATCCAGGAGGGCTATGGGAAAGGGGGCAAGGCCTGCTCACTCCTTGGACACTTCCTGTTGGAACCGGCTGCTATTCTTGGAAGCCCAAATGACACAGAGGGCTGGGCACAGGCACCCTAGTCAACAGCACCAGTTAAGTGTCGGCCAACAGCCTCCACCAACTGCCAGTCATGGGAGGGAGCCATGTTGGATGTCCAAGGTCCCAGCACGGAGAGTGACCCTCAAGTGAGAGCTTTGCAGCGGGGCCCAGCCAAGCACAGACACATGAGACACGTGGTTCCTTGGAGGGGCTCGTTGTACAGCCATGGGTAACGGGAACTGCGACTCCGACACAAGCAGCTCAGCGGAGCAGGCGTAAGGAACGCCAGATCAGAGTGAGCGAATGGGAAAGTGGAGACTTCAGCAAGTGTGGCTGCAGCTGGCATGGGAGCTTTTGGGCTCTTTTTTAAGATGCCAATACCTGGCTGGCATTGTGTCATAGCTGCCACCTGTTCAAGTCCTGGCTGCTCCACTTCTGATCCAGCTCCCTGATAATGTGCCTGCCTGGGAAAGCAGCGGAAAACAGCCTGAGTATTTGTACCCCTGCCACCTACGTGGGAGACCTGGATGAAGCTCCTAGCTCCTGGCTTCTGCCAGGCCCAGCCCACTCCAGGACATCACAGCCATTTGGGGAATGAACCAGTAGATGGGAGATCTCTCTATATATATAAACTTAAAAAAAAAAAAAAAAGATGTGGATGGCAATGAATCCTGGAGACAGGGAAAGACAAATGAAGAAGAGGGAGAAGCAGATGAAGCATAAGAATTACAGGAGGGCCAGTGCTGTGGTGTAGCAGGTAAAGTCACACTGCCTGCAGCTCTGGCATCCAATATGGGTACCGGTTCGAGTCCCAGCTGCTCCACTTCCAATCCAGCTCTCTGCTATGGCCTGGGAAAGCAGTGGAGGATGGTCCAAGTCCTTGGGCCCTGCACCCGCATGGAAGACTTGGAGGAGGCTCCTGGCTCCTGGCTTTGGATTGGTGCAACTCCAGCCATTGCGGCCAATTGGGGAGTGAACCAGCAGATGGCAGACCTCTCTCTCTCTGTCTCTGCCTCTCTGTAACTCTTTCAAATAAATAAATAAATAAATCTTTTTTAAAAAATTGACTCTTAGTTCTATTTAAAAAAAAAAAAAAACAGTTGCAGGAAGGCGAGTGGGGAGGATGAGAGCTACGGAGCCAAGGTGGGTGTGAGCGGATGAGTGGAGGTTGTGACCCCTGTGACCCCGGAGGCTCCAGGCTTCGCACAGCGGTGGCCTCTGTTTTCTAAAGGAAGCACAAGTGCAAGGGCAGGTCTGCAAAAGGGAAACCCCAGAGACAGATAAGGGAGCGAGAGTGACAGCCGGATTCCCGAGAGGCACACCCCGCCCCCACTCGTCCCTGGAACTTGGGAGCAGGCTGGGCTCCGAGACTGCCCGGGCAGGCCAGATCTCATCACACAAGGTTTTAAAGGCAGAGAGCTCTTCCCGGGGAGCAGCAGAAGCGTGAGCACAGAGGGTGTGAAGCACAGGTGAATGGCTACAGAAAAGGCACACAGAGCCCCCAGGAGGGGGCAGGCCCCTGCGGGCAGCCAGAAAGGAGGCAGGGCCTCACCCCCACAGCCATGAGCACCACATTCTACCTACACCCTGAGCAAGCTTGGAAGAGGATCACTGTCCTGAGCCTCCAGACAGGCGCCCAGCCCTGCCGACACCTGGACGGCCGGGTGAGACCCTGACCACAGAACCAGCTGGGCCCACCAGGACTTGTGACTACATGCTGTGAGATAATAAATGGGTGTTGTTTAAAAAAATTTTTTTAAATCTTTTTATTTAAAAGGCAGCATCACAGAGAGACAGAGAGAGATCTTTCATCCATGTTTGTTCATTCCCCAAATGGCTGCAGCAGCTAGGGTTGGGCCAGGCCGAAGCCAGGCGCCTGGAGCTCCACCAGGGTCTCCCACGTGGGTGCAGGGGCCCAAGCACTTGGGCCATCTTCCCCTGCTTTCCCAGATGCATTAGCAGGGAGCTGGACCTGAAGTGGAGCAGCCAGGACTCGAACCAGCACTGGTACTGGAGACTGGCATCACAGGCAGTGGCTTACCCTGTTGAGTGATGTTTTAAGCCACTGATTTCCTGGACATTTGCTGTGCAGCAATCGAAAATTCATACATGGGCCAGCGCCACGGCTCACTAGGCTAATCCTCTGCCTGTAGCGCCAGCACCTCGGGTTCTAGTCCTGGTTGGGGCGCCGGATTCTGTCCTGGTTGCTCCTCTTCCAGTCCAGCTCTCTGCTGTGGCCCGGGAAGGCAGTGGAGGATGGCCCAGGTCCCTGAGCCCTGCACTCATGTGGGCGACCAGGAGGAAGCACCTGGCTCCTGGCTTCGGATCGGCACAGCGCGCTGGCCATAGCAGCCATCTGGGGGGGGGGGGGGGGAACCAACGGAAGGAAGACCTTTCTCTCTCTATCTCTCTCTCTCTGTCTAATTCTGCCTGTCAAGAAAGAAAGAAAGAAAGAGAGAGAGAGAAAAGAAAATTCATACAGTGGGGACTAATCGTAGTAGGGAAATTACAGCAACACCAGGTGGCGCAGTGTGTCCCTCTGGGGTCTGTGGTCATGAGCAGAAAGGGGGCTCAATGCACCCACCTCCCCATCACTCACCTGAGTGGGTGGATGAGGTGGCGTAGGCAGGGGGAGGGGGAGGGTCAGGGTCAGGTGTTTCCAGGCAAGAGCATTGGCGGGAAGGAGGGGCAGAGGAACCGGGCAAGTTGGCAAAGGAGAGAAAATAGCAACAGCAAGCTCGGGCAAGAACAAGGAGACGTGAGTAGGTGGGCAATGGCACACAGGGAGGAAGTGGCTGACGGCCCGAGGGCTGCCAAGGGGAGTCCACATGGCTGCTGGCTCACCGAGAATGAGGCAGAGAATACAGAGGAAGACAAGGGCCAGAGCTGGCTGTGAAGGGGCGCGAGCAAGCGCCTGGAGCCAGCGGCCCGAGGAAGGGGCAGCAGCACAGTCAGACCAGGAGCAGGGCTTACAGAAGGGAGGGAGGAGGGAGGACAGCGTGTCCCCTGAGATGCATTCAAGCCCTGGTCCCCACCGCCTGTCAGTGCGGCTGACGGGGAAACAGGGTCTCTGAGGGCACTGTGGCCGGCCTGCAGCACTGGTGGCCCATGCGGGAGCCCGTTGGAATCCCGGCTGCTCCACTTCCCAGCCAGCTCCCTGCTAATGTGCCTGGGAAAGCAGCGGAGGATGGCCCAGGTCCTTGGGCCCCTGACCCACATGGGAGACTCGGAGGAAGCTCCTGGCTCCTGGCTTCAGCCTGGCCATGGCCATTTGGGGAGTGAACCAGAGGATGGAAGATTCTCTCTCTCTCTCTCTCTCTCTCTCTCTCTCTCTCTTTCTGCAACTGTTTCAAATAAACAAATAAATAAATAGAGATGAGGTCACCCTGGGCTAGTGTCCTCGTGAACAAAGAGGCCTGGGGCTCGGGGACATTGTGGAGAGGAAGGCCTGTGGCTGTGACAAGCTGGAGAGGCAGGAGGGACCCTCCCTTGCCCTGCAGACCTCGGGGCGAGCGTGGCCCAGCCCACACCTTGACTTTGGGCCTCGGGAACTGTGGACACTAAATCTCTGTCATTTGGAGTCACCCGTGTGACTCGAGTGACAGTCAGTGTGATTGATTTGTCACAGCAGTCCTAGCAAACTAACCCCCTTGCCCACCCCGAGGTGAGGGGCAGCTGATGTACTCACCGCACAGAGCAGCAATCATTGTCGCCGCCGTCACAGAGCACCTGGGCCATCTTCCGCTGCTTTCCCAGGCCATTAGCAGGGAGCTGGACCAGAAGAGGAGTAGCCAGGACTGGAACCGGCGTCCACATGGGATGCTGGCACTAGACAGCGGCTTAACCTGCTGTGCCGCAGCACCGGCCCCAGATCTGTGACTTTTGAAACTGGTAAGGAGAAGAAGGAGAACCATCACGTTCTTGTCCATTACTCGAGGGGAGACTTCAGTCCCTCCCGTGGCTGGCGGATTCTGGGCTTTGAGAAAATCAGTACCAGGGCCCTTTCATGTCCTCTGTGTAAAACAAGTCTGCGTGCACCCTTGACCGGAGAGGAATGCAGAGTATGGGGGAACGGGAACTGTGCTTTAGGCTTCCTGCCTTTTGAAGGCAAAGGAGAGGCTGGACCGAAGGGGCTGGACTTTGCACTGTCCACACACTGACACAGGCTGGAGAGCATGGGGCGGGAGGGTCTTGGACTAGCTGTATGGGGCACTTCGCTCGAGGCGCTGGACAGCTCCAAAGGCTCAGCAGGTGGGCTAGGCTGGGAGGCTGCCTGTGAGGCTCTCTCCTGTACTGCCTCCCGGGAGGACAGCCTCTCCGACTGAGCTGGATAGCTCCGCCTTCTTAGGGCGGGACTTGCCCACCCTCCACCTCCATCCTGTCCTGCTGCTGCACACAGCAGCTCTGGGACCAGGGCGACAGTGATTTCTGCTCTGTTCAGTGAGTACAGCAGCTGCCCCTCACCTCAGGATTAGTTTGCTAGGACTGCTGTGACAAATCAGCCACACTGACTGTCACTCGAGTCATGTGGGAGACCCAGAAGAAGCTCCTGGCTCCTGGCTTTGGCCTGGCCCAGCCACAGCCATTGTGGCCATTTGTGGAGTGAACCAGCAGCTGGAAGATCTCTCGATATCTCTGTCTTTCTCTCTCCTCTCTTTCTCTGGAACTCTTTCAAATACATGAATAAATCTATTAAATAAAAAAGTCACAGATCTAATCTGTAGCCAGTTTCCCCAAAGCTGGCTTGAAGGCCACAGTGGGGGCAGTGAAGACAAGGGCAACTGGACATCCTGGAACAATGAAGGCACCGGATGTCTGGATGAAGAATCTGACCCCAAGGGAGCCGTCACAAACCGCAGCCCCACAAAGCGCACTCCCACAGCTGTGGGGGATGTGGTTACCAGATATTAAGAGGTGGGACCTTTTTTTTTTTTTTTTTTTAAGATTCACCTATTCATTTGAAAAGCAGAGCTGGGCTGGCACTGTGGCACTGCAGGTTAAGCTGCCTCTGCAGCACGGCATCCCATAAGGGTGCAGCTTTGTGTCCCGGCTGCTCCACTTCTGGATCCAGCTCCCTGTTAATGCACCTGGGAAAGCAGCAGAAGATGGCCCAAGTGGGCCCAAGTGGGTCCCTGCACCCACATGAGAGATCCGGAAGAAGCTCTGGCTCCTGGTTTCAGCCTGGATCATCCCTGCTGCTGCAGCCAAGTGGGGAGTAAAACAGCACATAGAAGACCTCTGTCTCTGCCTCTGTGTGTGTGTGTGTGTGTGTGTGTCCCCACCTCCCTCTCTAATTTTGCCTTTAAAAAAAGAAAGATAGAAAGAAAAACGGCCGGTGCCGCAGCTCACTAGGCTAATCCTCCGCCTTGTGGTGCCAGCACACCAGGTTCCAGTCCCGGTCAGGGCGCCGGATTCTGTCCCAGTTGCCCCTCTTCCAGGCCAGCTCTCTGCTGTGGCCAGGGAGTGCAGTGGAGGATGGCCCAAGTGCTTGGGCCCTGCACCCCATGGGAGACCAGGAGAAGCACCTGGCTCCTGCCATTGGATCAGCGCCGTGCACTGGCCGCAGCGCGCCGGCCGCGGCAGCCATTGGAGGGTGAACCAAAGGCAAAAGGAAGACCTTTCTCTCTGTCTCTCTCACTGTCCACTCTGCCTGTCAAAATAAATAAATAAATAAATAGAAAAGCAGAGCTACAGAGAGAGAGAGAGAGAGGGCAGGATCTTCCATCTGCCTGTTCATTCTCCAGATGGCTGCAACAGCCAGGATTGGGCCACACCAAACCCAGGAGCCAGGAAGTCCATCTGGATCTCCCACATGGGTGGCAGGGGCCAAAGCCCTTGAGTCATCTTCTGCTGCTTTCCCAAGTGCAATAGCAGGGACCTGGATAGGAACTGGAACATCTGAGACTCCAGCTGGCCCCCACTGTGGGATGCCAGTGTCGCAGGCAGGGATTAGCCTGTAATGACAACGCTGGGGCCAAGTGTGGGAACTGTAAGAGGTAACTGGGCTCTGTTCTTCGAATGGATTAATCTATCCATGTGGTTAACATATAAGTGGGCTAATGGGTTATCTTGAGTGTGGGTTTGCTATAAAAGCCACATTGGCTAGTCTTTCAAGCCTTCCCTGTCTATCACTAGGTGACATATGATGTCCTGCTCTGCCCCAGGAGCCAAGTAGCAAGAAGGTCATCACCAGATGGGGTCCCCTGGCCTTGGAGAAGAACTGGGAGGCAAGAGAAACCCCTTTTCTTGGGGCTGGTGTTGTGGTGCAGTGAGTTAAACCCCCACCTGCAACGCTGGCATCGAAGCACTAGTTCAAGTCCCAGCTGCTGCACTTCTCATCCAGATCCCCACTAAAGCTCCTGGGAACGCAACAGAAGACAGCCCGGGTACTTGGGCCCCTGCCACCCATGCAGGAGGACCAGATGGGATTTCCAGCCATTGTGGCCATTTAGGTAGTGAACCAATGGATAGAAGATGTATATGTGTGTGTCTGTAAACTCTGCCTTTCAAATACATAAATCTTTTTTTTTAAATGAAGAATAAGGGCAAAACATAAATACCTTAAAAAGGATGAGGGCAGTCAGAGAAGCTAGAAACTGCCAAATTTCTGGCCAGGAATTGGGTGAATGGTGGTGCCATTCACAAGTATATGGAATACAAGACAAGCAGGCAGACTGGGAGGAAAAAGGTGAGTTAAATGTTGGATCTGTTGGGGTTGAGATGCAGATGGAACGCCTAAGGAGGCAGCTGGTGTGTGAAAATACAGATGCTGTCACCATCAGGCCATGGATCATGTTCCGCTGCTTTCCCAGGCATGTTAGCAGGGAGCTGGATCAGAAGTGGAACAGCTGGGACTCATACCCCACCCACATGGGATGTTGGTGCTGCAGGCCAGGATCTTAATCTACTGAAACCTGCTGTAAGCTTTTTAAGCATATTAACATGTTGAATCCTCAAGCCTAAGAGGTAGGTACTACTGCTATCACCATTTAAAAAAAAAAAAAAATATATATATATATATATGAATGTGTCAGCTTTCCATTACCTTAACTAAAGCACCTGAGAGAAGCTACTCGGGAAGGAGGGTTTATTTTGGTTGATGGTTGGGGAGGTTCCCAGGCTAAGGTCAGGTGGCCCACTGATCCAGCGTCTGATGGAGGCTGGCACTGACAGAGCAAGTGTAAAGGGACAACCACACGGTGAGGCAGGAAGCACCCCTGGCTTGAACAACCAACCCTCACAAGAGAGCTACCTTCTGAGGGCACACCCCCAGTGACCCAACCACTTCCTGCCAGGCCCGCCTCTCAGAAGCCATGGTTAAATCAGGTCTCCACCTTAACCCGTCAACCATGAACAGAAGACCTAGAGTACCCACCCACAGCACGGGCCTTGGGAGGACAATAAAACTGTTACCCAAACCCTAGCAATGATGAAACCAATGTATCATTTCATGTCTCACAGCTAGAAAACCAGGCCAATCAGGAGTTATCCCACGGACTCCTCAGCCTGCACACGAACAGCCCCCTGCCACAGCTGCACTAGAAATGAAGAGGACCAAGGAGGGGCTTCCAGGGCGGGGAGGTGAGGCAGAAAACTGGAGAAGCCACGTGTTGCAAGCCCCATGGTGGGGACAGAGTGGCAGGAGGGCCCGATGAGAACAATCAGGCTTTCAGAAAGCCAAGGAACCGACTCCGTATAAAGAGTGACTGTCAGATTTGGTGCCAGAAGACTCAGGAATGACCGCATCAGAATCCCAAGAGGGGCCAGTGCTGTGGCACAGCAGGTTAAAACCCCCGGTCTGCAGCGCCAGCATCCCATATGGGCGCCAGTTCAAGTCCCAGCTTCTCCTCTTCTGATCTAGCTCTCTGCTGTGGCCTGGGAAAACAGTAGAAGATGGCCCAAGTGCTTGGGCCCCTGCACCCACGTGGGAGACCCAGAAAAAGCTCCTGGCTCCTGGTTTTGGAGCAGCTCAGCTCCAGCCGTTGCTGCCATTTGGGGACTGAACCACAGATGGAAGATCTCTCTCTCTGTCTCTACCTCTCTCTATAACTTTTTCAAATAAATAAAATAAATCTTTAAAAAAAAAAGAAGAAGAAGAAGTCCAAGAGAGAAGGCAAGTCGCGGGTGTCGCAGATTCACGGTGGGAAGCACGGTACATGCAGCCGTGCCAGGAAAACTGCACCAAGAGGAAGTGGAGCCCACTCCAGAGACTTCCACGCCTTGAAGAGAAGAATTTGGAGCCTAGTAACATCAGTGGGAAAGTCAACAGGAAACGCAAGTTTTCAAGACACGAGGGTTCTCCCAAAAGTTCCTGGGAAATGAAAACAGAATTTAAGTTGATTCTGGTGCAAGAAAATTTTGAAACACATAGTACAAACGGGTCTATGAGGAATGCGTATTAGGAAACAACTCTGCATGATTTTCAAATAACTTTCTGCAGCACCCCTGCACAGGACCCTGAACCCACGCTGGTGATTCCGCATGCAACGGGAGACATGCTAAAGGCAAACACTCAGGGTCCTGCTATGCAGCCACACCGCGCCCCTGTGCACGGCACTTCTCAACATCACCCCAGACCAGCGGCTGCAGCATCGTCCAGGAAACTGGTCAGAAACCAAATTCTAGGCCCACACCCAGTGAATCAGAACCTGGGGGTGGGGGAGGGCTTTCCCAGGCTCTCTAAGTGACTCTCGCACCCAAGTTTGAGAACCACTGTTTAGCTATTTTCTCACCCCTCCTGGATCTTCAAATTTCCAGCACTTCCTCCCGCAACCTCCCTCTGCCTCGTAATCACTGAGAGGACAGAGGCCACCCAGAGAGAAAACTCTCCGCTTACTTAGGCCACAGCGCCCATCTTCCCAAGTCTGCCCCTGGCTGCAGAGCTTTCCCTCTTTCTGCTCTGGGTGAGCCTCTCATGCCCCTAACAGAAGCTGGCCCCTCTGCTTTCTGCATCTGATCCCCTCTCTCTCTCCTACCCCAGGCCACACTCTGCCACTCTCCTCACTCCCTCCCACATCATCAGTTTTGGTCTCTAATGGCTCTTTCCAATCGGCACACAATATACTGCGATTTTCCTCACTTAAAATTTTTTTCTTGGGGACTGGTGCTGTGTAAATCCACCACCTGCAGTGCCGCCATCCCATACGGGCACCAGTTCTAGTCCTGGCTGCTCCACTTCCAATTCAGCTCTCTGCTGTGGCCTGGGAAAGCAGTGGAAGATGGCCCAAGTCCTTGGGCCCCTGCACCCACGTGGAAGACCTGGAAGAAGTGCCCGACTCCTGGATTTAGAGTGGCTCAGCTCCAGTTGTTGCAGCCATTTGGGGAGTAAACCAGCAGATGGAAGATCTCTCTCTCTCTCTCTCTCTCTCTCTCTCTGTGTGTGTGTGTGTGTGTGTGTGTGTGTAATTCTGCCTTTCAAATAAATAAATATTTAAAAATTATTTCTCGGAACAGGCATTAAATCACAGTGGTCCAAGTTCTGCTTAGAATGCCTGCCTCCCCATATTGGAGTACCTGAGATTGAGTCTCAGTTCCACTTCTAATTCCTTGGTAGGAAGAAGGCTTCCTGCAATATGCACCCTGGGAGGATGCAGATGGGTAACTGGCTTCCTGCCGCCCACACAGGAGATCTGGATTGAGTTCCAGGCTCCAGGCTTCAACCTGACCCAGCCCAGGACTGGCCGGTGCTGACATTTTGGGATTGAGCCAGTGATGGAAGATCAATCTCTCTCCCCTCTCTGTTTTTGTGCCTTTCAAGTAAAATGAAAAGATAGTGATCTTTTTTTAAAAAAAGAATTTTTTTTGACAGGCAGAGTGGACAGTGAGAGAGAGAGACAGAGAGAAAGGTCCTCCCTTGCCGTTGGTTCACCCTCCAATGGCCGCCGCGGCCGGCGCACCGCGCTGATCCGATGGCAGGAGCCAGGTGCTTCTCCTGGTCTCTCATGGGGTGCAGGGCCCAAGCACTTGGGCCATCCTCCACTGCACTCCCTGGCCACAGCAGAGAGCTGGCCTGGAAGAGGGGCAACTGGGACAGAATCCGGCGCCCCGACCAGGACCAGAACCCGGTGTGCCAGTGCCTCAAGGCGGAGGATTAGCCTAGTGAGCCGTGGTGCCAGCCAAAAAGAATTTTTAAAGAAGATTTTAAATTTGAAAGGCAGAGTTACAGAGAGAGAGGGAGAAAAAGAGAGAGTGAGAGAGAGAGAGAGAGAGAGATCTTCCATCTGCTGCTTCACTCCCCAAATGGCTGCAATGGCCAGGGATAGGCCAGGTTAAAGCCAGGAGCCAGGAGCTTCTTCCCAGATACAGGGGCTCAGGTACTTGGGCCTTCTTCCACTGCTTTCCCAGGCTCATTAGCGTGGAGCTGGATCCGAAGTGGAGCAGCTGGGATGTGAACTGCAACCCCTATAGGATGCTGGTGCTGTAGGTAGTGGCTTAACCCCCTATGCCACAACACAGACCCCAAAAGAAATTCTTAAGTTTAAAAAAAAAAATTGCTCTCCTCACTTCTTTTTTTAGCTCCCTCTCATTTCCTCTGCTCTTTTTTTTTTTAATATTTATTAATTGACTTATTTGAAAGCTAAACTCAGAGATCTTGCATCTGTTGGTTCACTCCCCAAATGGCCGCAACAGCCAGGTCTGCACCAGGTCTGCACCAGAAGCCAGAAACTAGGAACTCCATCCTGGTCTCCCATATGGGCAGCAAGGACCGAAGCACTTGGGCCATCATCCCCTGCCTAGCCAAGCGCATTAGCAGGGAGCGGGAATGAGAGCAGAGTGGGTGGGACTTGAGCTGGCGCTCTGCTGTGGGATGGCAGCATCGTCAGCAGCAGTAAACCCCCACCGCACCACAATACCAGCCCCTCCTCTGCTTCTCTTGCAAGATTCCTCCGGAGCTCTCCGAACGAGTTCCTTTTGCTTGGATTCATCCACAATCAGACTTTTATTACTGTTCTGAGAGGAGGAGCATGGTGGGGGCAAGAGGCGCGGAGTCACCACACAGACCCCGGGAGTCGGGTGAAAGCAGGCCAGAAGGGAGCAGCCCACAGACTCGTTTATTTTAGTTCCTACAGCTGCTTATATAGCCAAGGCAGCCAATCCAGTCAAGGAGCGGTTTATGCCCTAACCAATCACAGCCTGTTGCCAGGCAGTTTCCAAAGTCATCCAATCACAGCCTGTTGCCAGTCAGGCTCTGTTGTCATGTGGTTTCCAAAGCCATCCAATCACAACCTGATGTCTGTCAGGCTCTGTTGTCGTGCGGTTTCCAAAACCATCCAATCACGGCCTGTTGCCAGGCAGTTTCTGTGTAAGTGGCCATCTTGGCATGACCTTCTCACCTTCTCATTCCACCACATTCATGACCTTCTCATTCCACCACATTTACCCCTTTTCATTTATTTTTTGAGCAACAGGAGGCATAATTCTTGGCCATACCATTGTTGACCTCGTTTCCATGTGGTCTCTGTACGCAGCTGTGCCTATCTTAGATTGTCCCCCAGGGGATCTTACCCATCATTGACTAACCAGCGCTCAAAACAGGAGACCACAGGAGTGCTTGCTCAGATGTGGGTAGGAATGAGGAACAGTGGTAATCAGGAATGGCAAGACCACACACAGGCTGTGGGCCGTTTGAGTGGCTGACCAGAGCTAGTGGGGTATAAAGCAGTAATGGATGTGGCTATGGGCAGTTTCTCGGGGTAGGATGATAGGGCAGGTGCGTCTGCTAACATGACAACACATTACCATCACCATTACTCCATCAAAAGAAAATCTGTCCTTGTCAGACTCACCACCAGCCTTCTAAGCCCACCTTCACAGTGTTGCTTCACCTACGGGCAGCACTGGGCATGGACCTCTGCCTCCTGCCTGCTGGGCTTCCTCCCCTTCGCTCCAGGACAGCACCGCCTCCCGGGGTGCTTTGCCCCCCGACGCTGGCCAGTCCTGAGTCTCTCCGATGGTTCCATTTCATTTCTACACAGCGCCATAGTTCAGTCCTTGCTCGTCGGATCTGCTCTTACTCCTTGGTCAGCTCTTCTAATCCCACGGTTTTGAATAATATCCATATGTTGATGACTCATCACATCCCAGACACACCAGACACCCAAACATTCAACTCTCTCACCACTGGGATGCCCAGTGAACGCCTCAGTTTATTATCCCTCCCCACCCCCATCAGACGCTGATGCCCATCTCTCACCAGGCACTTGCAATGACCTCCCCAGTGCTCCCTGCTTCTACCCAGTCTCTCTTCAGGTCCTTTCTCCAAAGGGATTCTCAGACCCACACCCTCCTCTGCTCAAAATCTCCCAAGGTCATCGGCATGGCCTCAGGGAGCCCTGCAAGCTGTATCTCTTTAACTTCAGCTCCCATTCTGCCTTATCGTCACTGACCTGCTCTTCCTCAAAAGGGGCCTGGAGTTCCCAGCTCAGAACTCTGGCACACATGTCCCCGGCCTAGAACATTCTTTCCCGTCCGTATGTACAGGGTCCCTCCTCCTTGTCTCTCTGGAAGGCACCTTTGACCACACCCCTTACCTCCCTCCCAGCTTGATCTGCATCCTCCTCGGCTCCTAGTGCCACCCACCACACCATATCCGGCACTCACCTGGCTGCTGTCCCTCTGCCGCTACCGCAGTACAAGTTCCTCCAGGCCAGGGGTGGGCCTGCTCTCTTCACTGCCACATCCCGGGTTCCTGGAAGTGTGCCTCGCACATTCCAAACCTAGCTGGAAAATGAATGATGAAATGAGGGCCTTGCAGAAACACAGAGGGCTGACATCCAGGGGGGATAGGCCTTGAAGAAGAGGAACATCTTCAGGGCCGGCGCTGTGGCGTAGCAGGTAAAGCTGCCGCCTGCAGTGCCGGCATCCCATGTGGGTGCCAGTCCTAGCTGTTCCACTTCCGATCCAGCTCTCTGCTAATGGTCTGGGAAAGCAGCAGAGGATGGTCCAAGTGCACCTGTGTGGGAGACCCAGCTCCTGGCTCCTAGCTTTGGATTGGCCCAGCTCCGGCCATTGTGGCCATATGGGGAATGAACTAGCAGACAGAAGACCTCTCTCTCTCTCTCTCTCTGCCTCTGCCTCTCTGTAGCTCTGCCTTTCAAATACATACATACATACATACATACATAAAAAAGCATAGGTGCACATGGATACTTGTGTTTTTAAAAAATGGGGGGGGGGGGCATCTTCTTCACAGCTCCTGGCGCAGAGGGAAGAATGAATTCAGGTATGTTTGCAGGTAGAAACTTAGGTCTCCACGTCCTGTTTGCACCTAGTTTCTCCAGGAAACAGAGGAGGAGGAGGGTTTGAGGGGTGTGCAGATGGGTGAAGTCACCTGCTATGGAGAAGGTACTCATTGTTGGTCCCAGTGAGGTTGAAAATCTGATCTTGCCCTGGCACCAGTCCACTTGGTCCTCACAAGCACGTGGAGAGGGGAGGCAGGTCAAAAGTGCAAGTGCTTGGGCCGGAGTCGTGGTGCAGCAGGTTAGGCCACAGCCTGCAAAGCTGGCATCCTGTACAGACACAGGTTCATGTCCCAGCTGCTCCACTTCCAATCCAGCTCCCTGCTAGTGGCCTGGGAAAAACAGCATTAGAGGGCCCAACTGCTTGGGCCCCTGCACCCAGGTGGGGGACCCAGAAGAAGCTCCTGGCCTCAGCCTGGCCCAGCCACAGCCGCTGTGACCATTTGGGGAGTGAGCCAGCAGATGGAAGATCTCTCTTGCCTCTCTCCGTAACTCTGACTTAAAAATAAAACAATTTTTAAAAAAATTCAAGTTCTTCGATGACGAAGGAGAATTCCTTCCATAGTCTCTGTTTATGCAATCGGGTAGTCATCAATACTCACCAATCCATGGAAGTAAACGGAGCAGGGAGCTCCTATAGGAGCAGGCCAAAGGAGTGGAGGCCTAGGCTGAGGACTTCCCCCAGCCCGGTGGAAAGGGGCAGTGACATTCAGCGGTTCCTAAAAACTGAAAGTGGATCCGCCCGGGGCTCAAGTTCCCAGACTCCCTCCGCCCCCGGCCCCTCCGCTTTCCCAGTACCTTCCAGCTGCCCCGCCGCGTCGCATCCACCCCACTTCTGTCCTTGCTCCACCCACTGCAAACTGGCGTGCTTTCCTTCCACGTGGTACTCTGTGTACGTCGGTTGCCCGGGAGACCCTGGCCGGGCGGGGAGGGGATGACGTCACAATAGAGACGAGCCAATCGCCGTGAGACGCGGGGCGTGGCTCTGCCAGCCTGGGTGCAATGAGGTGGCTGCCCGCTGGGTGGCGCCGATTTCCCGGGGAGGTCCTTCCAGGGCCCCCGGCGGAGGTGGGGGAGAGGCGGGCAGGAGCCGAGGCCAGGGAGCCCTCTGCGTCAGCTGCTGCTCACTGCACCGCGCCTGTACCAGCCGGGACTCACCCGCAGCTCCATGCTTGTGCCGGGTTCGACTCGTCCATCCTCCGAGAAGAGGCAGGTACGTGCCACCTGTCGGAGATCGGGAACAGGGGGTGCGGAGGTCAGTTGCCGGTTTCAGGTTCCGAAGGTGAGAGGTCAGCGTCAGCCTGGGCACCAGAAATGTAGGGCGAGGGCCAGCTGAGCGGGGGAGCTCCAGCGGCGGGCGCCCGCGTGCGAGGGGGGCTGCCAGCTGGCAGCCCGTGGTGCCAGGAAGAGCCATCTGTGTACGGATCGGTGTGTTCCGAGAAGCGCAGCTCCCGCGGGCCGGGGGCCTGAGCCTCACCGCCTGGACGCCGACGGCCCCCTCCCCACGCGTGCGCGCAGCTCGCCAAGCTCGCGACGGCTGTCTGTGGTCAGTTTGCCAGAAGCGGGGGAGGGGGGGTGTTGGGGGAGGGTAGCAGTTACGCGGAATGGGAGAATTTCCACCAATCCCAAATCAGAAAGAGGCATCTTTGAAATCCTCACCAATCCCAACCCAGACGCCGGCACGCGGTGCTCCGGGGCACGCAACTTCTAGTCTGGAGCCCAGGGAAGCCAGCCCAGGACGACCCATTCTAGCTCCCCGCGGAGGAGTGGGCGCTCCACCTCCCAGGCCCGCTGCTTTCGGAGCGGGACCAAGATGGAGCTGGAGGCAGGGGCTGCTGCCCTCGCCTCGCCCGTCAGGGGCGCGAGAACAGCCCCGGGGAAGCGCGGCTGCCCCCTCCCCTTTGATGCCGCACACACGTGCCAGGCTGCAGTTGGAATGAGGACCGGAATGACAGCCCGGGCGCGGGCGGCCTGGGAAGTGCATCAGCAGGTCGAGGGCTGAGTCAGTAGCCCGTGCTGAGACGGGGCGGAGGCACAGCCTGGGGAACTCGCCGCGCTCTGGGACAGCCAGCGAGAAACTACCCGGGAGCAGACAGGTGCACCAAGAACTCTCCTCCTCCGTCCTGCGACCCTGTGCGGCCCGGCCCCGAGGCCCTGGAATCCTGAGCTCTGGAACAGGTAGAGTGGGAGCCCCCAGCAGGGTCAGGCAAGGGGGGAAGGGTCCCAGATGGGCTGACTCCCCCCCTCCCCGTGTTGGAGAGGACATTTAGAAAGATGCTCTTCCCACTGATGGGCCAGGCACCTGTTCAGAGCCCTGTGGCACTCTGGTGTTGGAGAGGGTGCCCACGTCCCCTTCCCAGGAAGATTCGCGGGGTGAGGCGCTGCTCTAGTACAGCCGCTAAGCTACAGGAACCAAGGCAAGTGTTCGGTTTAACCGTCATGGGTTGGAGTCTTCTATAGGCCAGGAAATGTCACAAAGATTAATCCATGCTCACAACCGTGAGATGTACCCCTATTATTATTATTTTCTTTTATTATTATTCCTCCTGTATAAGATAACAAGGAGCCCAGGCCCAGCGAGCACAGTGATTGCTCACTGTCTCAGATCCAGTGGGAAGGAGCTAGAATGCAAGCCCAGGCCGAGGCGTCCATGCTGAAAGCGTATGGAGCTGAAGCCTGGGTGCTGGCCGCTGTGCCCCGAGACCCACTCCTTCTCCCAGTTAAAGGAGCTGGGCTGGCCCCGAGGCCTCTCCCCTCTTTGCCCCTGTGGTGGACAGATCCAGAGCCTCTGCCTTTGCCCCCACCCCTCTGCCCTCTTTCCTGTCCTGTTTCCTCCTGACACCCACTCCCCCACCCCACCCCTCCATCCCCCCTTCCACACGCGCCCCTCCCCAGAGGCCCAGCGGCTCTCTTAGGCTGGCACTGGCCAGGTGGGGCAGTGGCGGAGGGTGGGCCTGCTACTGTCCCTTTAATTCTCTCGGGGCTTGGAATCCAAGTGAGTTGCTGCCGTCTCAGGGAGGTCAGATAAGATACTATATATATCAGCCGGAACCCGAGCCCCGGATTACCCAGCCTCCTGGCTCGGGCTCTCCGCCTCTACTGGGTTCCCTGCCCTCCCCGGGAAGGAGAAGCCCCCAGGCTCCGCCAGCTCCCCCAGCACAGGTCAGTCGTGTGCCTCTGGTGTCTGCGTTTCTGTCCTCCAGGCGTCCAGGGGTCTGGGGTAGCCTGTGGTTCAAGGCTGCCCACCGGCCTGTGGGAGCCATGGGTGGGAGCTGAGGATTGAGGAAAGAGGGATCCCTGGAGGACAGAGTGGGAGATGGAGACGCTCCCTGGGGAGGGTCTGGGCAGATCACGCCTGAAGAGGGAATATATGGGCACCAGCGCTGCCTGCAGGTCCCGTTCTTTGCCACCTCTTGGAAGTAGAGGGATGCCCACCCCCTCCCAACCCCAAATCAAGACGCACCCTAGAAGGCAGTGCTCTGAGCCCTCCCACTTCTTCTCCACCAGTCAGGAGTCTCCCCCTAATCTCCAATCTCTATCACCCCTCCCCCATCCCTGAGCCCCTGCACAGCCCCCTAGAGACCAGAGGGACCCAGATTCCCCTGGATGGTCCCTTGCTGAGGCAGGGGCCCGGCGGTGCTAGCACAAGACAGACAGAGCTGCCACAAACAGGCAGGCGGGGAGGGGGCAGGTGGCCACCCCAGGGCAGGAGTGGAGCAGGCAGAGTTCCCGGACTGTGGGCCCCGCCCCCACCCTCTACCCACATCCTCCACTCCTGCCAGGGTTGACACTTGTGCCCTGACTTTAGCAGGCGGCCAGCGCAGCGAGGGGTACGGGTCAGAGAGTGTCAGCTAGGGGCCCCCTCTCACCTCCCCCCTGCCCTTCAGGGGTCAGCGCATTCTGATGCTGTTAGCAAGCAGCTTTGGGAAGCTCTGAGGTCACCCCTGCGGAGGTGACACTGACTGGGACTCACCGCTCACCTGCCCTGGGCACCCGGGTAGCAGGAAGGCACCTTTCACCGTGTGCCGGTGTGCTCTGAAACAGCTCAGGGCTCTCGGCCTAGGCAGTGGCAGGGCAGCCGCCGGGCTGTCACCCCAAGAGCCAAAGCAGATCTGTGCAAAGAGGGGCCATGAGGGTTGCTGGGATGTGGGGCGTCGGGGCTCCCCTGCCCTCCGGGCCAGGAGTGCCTGGGATTCTTGGGGAGTGAGTCCCTCCCCTGGCAGGGCAGGTTAGGGAGCCCTGCACGTGAACTACAGGAAATGACAGGGACTGATGCAAGGAGCCGGGGTTCGTTTTAACCCCTGACTCACCTTCACGGGGACCTTGGGCAGCGGGTAGGAGGCTGCGGGCATGTTCCTAGCCAGGCCTGGGACGCAGAGCCCCGAGCTAGGGTAGACGCCTCCTGGACCATCTCGCGGCCCATCAGTGTCGCTCAGGGGCTCAGGTTGCGCCCAGCTTCGCTTTCACTCACCTGCAGTGGAAAATCCAGGGGGGCCGCTCCTGCCAGAGGCTGCACCCCTGAGACTGTGGCTGGACCAAGAACAGCCAGGTGCTAGGGGGAGAGACGTCTTCCCCAGCCCCAGGCCCACAGCTACCCAGGCCTGCCCCAGCCCAGGGAGAGTCCACGCGAAGGCTGAAGCAGGGGCCTGGCTCCAGGGTGGACGGAGGGGACAGAGCACAGGCCCCGGCTGGGATCAGGTGACTCTGGGAAATCTGACTCACTTCCAGGAACGCTGATTTCCCCGTCTGTGAAATGGGACTCCTTGGAGCTTAGGGGCCGCCTAGGGCTGCAGGGAGGATGCGGGTCAGCACACACGGAGTCCCCAGGCTCAGCGCCCCGTCAAGCCCCCGGAACCTCAGCAATAGTAGTACAGATGCCGAAAGTATATCTGAGAGTTTCAGCATCGACGCTTCATTTAGAATTTGAGTCGTGAATAGATTTTTTTTTTTATTTCAATTTACTTTCAAGAACTCTTCCGATGATGTTTGTCAGCGTGCGGCATTTTGTCTGAACAAATCCCAGCTCAAGCCAGCAGTGGCTCAGGGAGCCCCAGGTCTGGGCGTGCTTAGCATGTGGGACACGCATTGCGGACTGGGTGGGTGTCGGTGTCGCTGGTGAAACCGGACGCTGCCTGTGAAGTCGGCAGCCGCTGGGTCCCTGGTCCTCAGGTGTGCAGCGCCCACCAGGAAGCTGAGTGTCTCCATGCGCAGGGATGCTGCCCCACCTCCCAACGGGGGTCGGGGGGACCGAGCAAGGCGGCACTGGGGGCCACCTGATGGAGAAGGGGGGGCGGGGCGCCTCTGTGAGGAGGGCCTGGAGGGGCAGCGTGGCAGGTGTTGGTCCCTGTTGCCCAAGGTGGCAAGGCAGCGGGCCCGTGAGGAGGCACCCGGAGCCGCATGCCTGTACTTGCCGGCTCTGGGTAAACAGTGAAAGGAACTGGGCAGCAGGGGCCCCACGCCGGGCAGGGAGGGGGATACGGGATGCCAGCCAATCGCCTCGCCTCCCACTGCCCCATGAAAGGGCCATTCAGTTCAGGCCGTTCCTGTGGCAACAGGGAGACTCGCGGCCATGTGAGTGGCCATCCTGTCCCTGCGTCCCGCAGCCGGCCCCTGCTCTCCCGCCCACGGCGCACTCTGCAGCCTCTGGGGTAGTGGCGCCAGGTAATGTCCAGGGGCGTTCCCCTCTCTTCCCTCTCCCCCACCCCCTCCCCGGCTGTCTTCTCACCTGGACAGTGCTGGGACCTCTCTCAAGAGGAAAACTGGGGACAGGGGGTGGTGCTTACACCCTGACAGGGACTGGAAGGCACTGTCAGAGCCCAGAGGCATGGCAGGGCTCCCAGGGCTGTGGGGTGGGGGGCGTCTGGCAGATGGATCGGGAGCTGTGGGAGCCCTCCTGGGATCCTGTGGGCTAGAAGGCGTGGCCCCGCCTCCTGTCCCCTGCACCTTGTTAGGCCCTAGCACTTGTGCGTCATCAGCAGGGCCAGGAGAGGCCTGGGGCTTGGGGCACTGCCAGCACAACACCAGTTCCCTGGGAGCCTTAGTGTGTGGGAGGAGCCATGAGCTCATACCCTGGTGGGGGAAGGGGCAGTGTCTGATTGGCTGCCCGCTGTCCCAGAGCCCAGCTCTGGAGGCCTGGAGTCTCTTTGACTTTGCATTATTGATGGAGTTCTCCAAAGTGAAACAGAGCAGGACAGGTCCCTGCCCCCACTCCGTGCCCGCGTGCGTCCCCCTCCCCTCCACACAGTGGTTTCTCTCTAGGTCAGCATGAGGTCGTCTCCCAGTTATCTTGGCGTGAAGACTGTGCTGGAGGTGGGAGCACAGTGGGCAAAGGGGTGTACCCGAAGACGGGTGGCAGGGGTGGGAAGACATTAGATGGACCAGGCCTTTCCAATGCCAGCCTAGAGAGGTGTGTGGCAAGGACAAGGGTCTCTGTTCTGCAGCCTGTATGGAAGCCGCCACCTGCTCATCTCCCACCCCTGCACCTATCCCAAGCCTTGTGTGTGGACTGGGTTTCTGCCAGGCTCTTGGTATTTGGGACTTAGCTCTCCCTCTCCCTCTGCCTGAATGGGCTGGGCTGCTGGCCTAGGGCACGCTGTGTGCTGCCCGAGCCAGTGTCAGCTCAACGGCTTGGGGTCTGCCCACTGCCCACTTCTCGCAGGCTGGGGGCTGCAGGGGAGGCCCGGTGCCCCGGGCCGAGGTCGGAGGCTGGCCAGCCCTGACATTATTATAATCTACAAAGGGAGGAGCCATGCTGCCTGGTGGGGCCTGGGCCAGAGGCAGAACCGGTCATTGTGACGTGCTTCCACGTGTTATTATCTCCTTTATCCCTCAGAGCAGCCATGTGAGGCAGGGACCATGTGGGGATGATTATACTCATTCACAGGTGAGGAAATTGGGGCTCCAGGAAGCTAAATGAACAGTGCAGCATTGCCCAGCCAGGCCATCCCAGGGCAAGTCAAAATCAGCCCCTGAGCACTCTTACTCTGACCGTCCCGGATGGCTCTGCTGCTGCCCCCTCCCCAGGGAGCCCCGCAAGAGCCCCATGAGCCTGGAGGAAGGGGGCCTCATGCTACCTGTCCCTCTCTCCAGGGCACGTTTGGCCCTGCAGCTCCACGGGAGAGGAAGCCTGCCCGATTGGGTGGTGGGCCCTGGAGGTCCCCAGCCGAGCCTCCATCTGCTGGGGATGCTGAGGGCTGTGCAGAAGAGCTCCCTGGGCCGGATTCGGAAAGACCTGGATTCTAATTCTGACTCTGCCAGCTTGCGGCCTTGGGCAAGTCAGCGTCACTTTTCCCACCTGTATAGCAGAGAGGTTAAAATGTACGGTCATTTAGCACTCGGCAACTTCTGTCTTCCTTCCAAGGACCCCCCCACCCCAGCTGCAAGGACGGTTCAGGGAGACTGGCAGTGCCACCTGCAGTGCAGGATTTGGGCCTCTAGGGGGTGCCTTTTGCACAAGTCAAGCCTGGGCAGGGGCAATCTGGGAGGCCACATGGCCCTGACTCCACTTGGAACAGAAGGCTAAGCTCTGTGAAGAGGGTGGGTTCTGACCACCTGGGTGTCCCCCACTGTGGGACCACAGGGCTCTGGGCTGGGGCGTGGAGGCCGGGTTCCAGCCCCCTCGGCCTCCCCTGCCTGCCAGTCCTCCCTCGAGCCTCTTCTTCACCAAGGGTCTGCATGGCTGCTCTCCGGTCCTTGCCGCAGACAGTCTGACACCAAAAGGGTGCCTGCTTGCCACCTGAGTCAGAAAAGAGGGTGCCATCTCAGCTGGAGACATGTCCAGGGGTCAGGGATGGGGTCTGGGCTGGAAGCCACACGTAGCTCAGAGGACTGCGGAGGTGGGCAGTCCCTGCGTGCCTGTCCGGGTCTTCGAGGGGGGCACACGGAATAGCCAGGATGCGCTAAACCCGCTTCCCCGGGCAGCGTGTAAGAGCCAGCTGGTCTCTTGGGACGGCACAGGCGCATGGCAGGTGCGCGCCCATTCCCCGGGGGGCAGCTGGGAAGCCTCTTGTGTTGAGCTCTAAGGCTGCGGGCCCAGCAGGTGCCGTGGGGAGCTGACCCCTGCTTCCCTTGTCTTTCAGCCCATGAGGCTCCCAGTCCCCACTGAGCGCCGCCCTGAAGGATGTCCCAGCTCTCCTCCACCCTGAAGCGCTACACAGAATCGACCCGCTACACAGATGCCCCTTACGGCAAACCGGGCTATGGCACCTACACCCCATCCTCCTATGGGGCCAACCTGGCCACCTCCTTCCTGGAGAAGGAAAAGCTCGGCTTCAAGCCGAGCCCCTCCACCAGCTTCCTCACCCGTCCTGGGATCTACGGCCCCTCCTCCATCCTGGATTTTGACAGGGGCCGCCCCCTGCTGAGACCCGACATCATTCGGGGTAGTAAGCGGGCAGAGAGCCAGACCCGGGGCACCGAGCGGCCTTTAGGCAGTGGGCTCAGCGGCGGCAGTGGATGCTCGTATGGAGTAACCAGCAGCTCCCTCAGCTACCTGCCCATGAATGCCTGTGACCAGGGGCTGACCCTGGCCCAGAAGAAGTCGAACAGCCAATCAGACCTGGCCCGGGATTTCTCCAGCCTCCGGACCTCAGACAGCTACCGGATCGACCCTGGGAACCTGGGCCGCAGCCCCATGCTGGCCCGCACGCGCAAGGAGCTCTGTGCCCTGCAGGGGCTCTACCAGGCAGCCAGCCGCCCCGAGTACCTGGTGGACTATCTGGAGAACTACGGTAGCAAGGGCAGCGCACCCCAGGTGCTCACCCAGGCCCCTCCCTCACGAGGCGTCCCCGAAGTCCTCAGTCCCACCTACCGACCCAGTGGCCGCTACACACTGTGGGAAAAGAGCAAGGGCCAGGCCCCGGGGTCCAGCCGCTCCAGCTCCCCAGGGCGAGACACCATGGTAAGTGCACCCTGGGGACCCAGGGACAGGTTGGGAGACAGCCAGCCAGTGGTGGAGAAGAGCTGGGTTGGGGGCAGGACTGCCATCCTGACTGGTGTGGATGGCAGTGGCGCCTGGTGGAGGCGAAGGCAGAGAAGTCATACTGGCACGCGTACTGCATCCGTGCTCAGCGCCAAGGGGAGGGCCTTTCCCAGCGTTCGCGGGCGGTCAGCAGTGCTCATGGAACTGTCAGCTGCCCCCATCTCTCTCTCTCTCCCCTCTCTCTCTCTCTCTCTCTCACACACACACACACACACACACGCTGCCGTTCTCACCCTCTCCTTTTCCACCCAATTCCTGTTTCCTGCAGACGCTGCCCCATCCTGGGCTAAATGCTGGGGTCCCAAGACCACCAGTGCTCCTTGTGGCAAGAGGAGCTTCCCCGTCCTAGTTGCCTCCCTCCCCCTGCTCAGGCCCTGCATCTGAGTATAAGATATCAGGGGAAGCGGGAGTCTCCGCCCACCCACATTGGTGGGTTCAGGACCAGGGTGTCTGGACAGCAGTTCAGAGAAAATAGCAGAGAACGTTTTGTCTGGGGCCCGAGACAACCCAACCCCTCGGCTGGAGAGAGGGCAGTGGCTCTGCTGGGTAGGGACCAAAGGCTGGCCTGGCCTCTCGGACATCTGACCCCTCTCTTGGGTCACTGACCACATTCCACCCTCTGTGTTTGTGGTGTGCCCATTGGGAGCATGCTCTCAGAGGGTGGGAGAGAAATCCTATGTGGAGATTCCTCACCATGTGCCTGGCACCGCAAGGGGCTTAGCTGGCCTCTGACTGCATGGGCGGATGGGTGGGTGGACAGGTGGACGTGTGGATGGACGAATGGAAGGACAGACAGCAAGCACGGGTGCAGGAGGATTGGGTGTTATGTCTCCTCCATTGCCCCTTCCCTAGTCCAGGGATATGAGGCTTGTTGGAAAGAACAGCTATGCCACCCCCAAGAAATACTGCCTGGAGGACTTAGCCGGGCAAATACAGCAAGGGTCCAGGACTAGGGTCGGGCGTTGGGTTACTGGCCGTGACTCTTGTCTTAATTAAAGGGCTGGAGAAGACACCTTTGATAACTACTTAGTGAGTCTTGGCCTGGCTAGGCCATCTGTGAAGTGCCATGAGACACGAAGCTGGTGCACCCCAGAGCAGTGAGACCCCGATGGGGCAGGGCTGGCTGCACTGAGAGCCAGCATAGAAAGGAGCTGGAGAACAGACGTGACCCACCTGGGCTGGTCTGGGAAGGAGCACGTTTTCTCACAGGGCTGTGTGCCGTGCTTGGGAGATGTTGTTCAGAATGGCTCTTGCGGGAGGAGCTGGGGTCCGGGAAGCTCCGTGGGGCTCCCTCCCTTTGCTCAGAGACCCAAAGCTGGGTCTGCAGCCTGCCTGCATCAGAATCACCTGCTGGGCTTGTGGGCTGGCCCAGGGCTCTGTTGGGATGGGGCTTGGGCACCTGCCCTTCGCACCAAATCCTCAGAGGACCTCTCTCTACAGGGCGGGGGGTGTCAGGCCCCTTCCCCAACAGGCGCATCCCAACCCTCCCTGGAATTTGCTGCACGGCCCCAGTTCCAGCACCAGGGTCGGGGAGCTGTGAGAGAGGACAGTGGCAGAGACTGGGGCAAACTCTGCACCCTAACGTGGCCTCTCCCATCCAGAAGCACCCACAGCACACACAGGCAGCTGGGAGTACCTGCAGGGGAACTGGCGTCTCATCCTGAGCTCAGGGGCCTGTGGGATAAGGCTTTATTTCCCCTTGTCCCTCCCGCCCTCACTTCCTGGAGCTCCCTGCACTTGCTGAGCCCTGAACAAATCCTGCCCGTGGGGCCTAGACCACTTCTGTCTGAACACCTGGTCTGGTTTCTTTTCAGAATCTCCCTTGGGGACCTTGCCTTCTCACTCACTCGTGTGCAAGGCTCAGCTGACTGGCAGGGCGAGCTCGGGTCCCTGAACTTCTGAATCTGTGATGGGAGCACTTACAGCTCCCGCTTCCGCAGTGACTGCAAGGGACGGGAAGGTGCTGGCTGTGCATGAGACTGCCTGGCACGTAGTAGGTGCTCAGGGAGCGTGAAGTCCTCCTCGCGCCTTCCAGGTGTTCTGGGAGGCAAGTGATGCAGGCGCCTCAGCCCTGGCCTGAGAGCATTTGCTTTTCATTTGGGAGAAACAAGTGCTTAAGCAATTCCAAGTCCGAGGCAGCCCTGGGTGTTCTCGGCAGAGGGAAAGCAAGAGGCCATCTGAGGTTGGGCTGGGCTGCTTGTGACTGAGGGGAGGGGCCCTTGGCCTCCCTTGACCCTGGACACCTATCAGCTCCACTGTATTTCCTCGTCTATAAAAGGCAACGATCCTGCCTGCCCCGTCCACCTCCTCGGGATGCCCAGGAGGCTCTGAAGCCAGGGCAACACGGGGAGGAGGACCCCAGGGGCCTGGGTGGCTGCCTCCAGTGGGCAGGGCCTCCCCGGGGGAGGGACAGAGGTGAGAAAGTACATGCGGTGGCCCAGGGGGCTCGGGGCAGCTGACCTGAACCATACTCAGCCTTCAGAAAGGGATGGAACTTGGACTATCAAACTCAGATGAGCGGTGGGGGTAACCCTTCCTGTGCCCATGTAAGCACGAACAAAACCCCAGCCCACGGGTGCCACTCAGCACCTGCCCTGAGGCTCCACCTTCCTCTGGAAATGCACACGGAGGAGCCAGAGGGGACAGCAGGTGCTGTTAAAAAAAAAAAAAAAAAAGAGAGAGAGAGAGAGAAAGAAAGAAAAAAAAAGAAAAAAGAAAAGAAAAGAAAAGACCTTTTGCTACCCGCAGCAGGGATTCTCCAAGCCAGCACAGGTGGCTGGGCCTTGCCAAGCGCCAGGAGCTGAAGTACCCAATGCTATCACCTCCCCCTCCACCCCACCCCTCTTGTTCCCAGGCCTATGGAAGGACAAGCTGTTCCCACTGAACCCTGGCAGGGCTGGGCTTTAACCCCTACTATCCGTCCTAATCCTCCTCCACTCCGCCCCTCCAGCTGCTCCCTCACCAGCCCTGGCACCCCGCCCACTGGCCTCAACCCTGCCCTCGCCCCACCCTGCCCGGGCTACCCCCTCCTCTTCCCAAGAGGAGCCAGGGCTTGGCCCAGGGCCCTGGGAAGCAGAGTCAGTAGCCCGGGCACCTGCTCCTCGTACTTGGAGCCAGGGACAGCGGCTCCGAGGCTGGCCCAGCCCAGTCTTCCCATGCAGTGTCCTCCACACCCCTGGGCTCTGCTCCGGGACCTGGCTGCTTGGAGCAAAGGGTCTGGGCACTGAGTTACCTGGGTCCCGCTTGCCACTCGGGCTGCTGACTCATCTCCCGAAGCCCGGAGTTCCAGCTGTTCAGTGACAGGGAGATTATATAAGCCAAGGTCATGTGATTTTTCTCTCAGGTGGGACTTTGGACTTGAAGCTGCCTTGCAGTGAGCAAAGGTTGCTCCAAAGAGACCACAGTGAGGATGGCGCAGGCTGCCCTGTAGCTCCTGGGTGAGATGCCTGAGCTTCCTGTCTGGGCCCTTGCCTCTCACTCTGGCGACGGGGCCACACTGGACTGCACCCCTGCTGTCCCGTAGGGTCCAGCGGGACAGTCTGAGACCCTGGGGCCTAACCTCACCCAGTCCCACCCCGTGCTCCCTCAGCCACTCAGAGGGGCCTGAATCTGTGCTGACAGTACGAGATTCCTTACACCTGATTTCCCTAACCAGGACAGGCACCAGCTGCCAGTAAGGCACAGGCAGTGGGTCTGCGCATGACGATGATCAGCGAGATGCTGATGTGTCCATCCCTTGAAGGCCAGCTGCGGGCTGGGTCCTGGCTAGTGGCCTTGGCATTGCTTTCCATGGGCTTGATTTCTCAATCAGAACCAAGGCACCGAGCTCCCTGCCTCCTCCTCCACCCGCCCCCTCCAGGATGTGTCCATTAGTTAATATAGTGCCGGGGTGGGGCTCAGCAATGCAGAAGTTAATCCAAGCCTGGCAAAATGTTCCCTGCCCCTGGGGGAGCCGCTCCACTGACCATCGGCTTTAGCAGTGAACATCATGTTCAGAGCCCAGAGCGGTGCACGTGGCCCCTTGTCGCCTCTTACCTCAGTGCGGACGTAAAACTGGCACTCCGGACAGAGGCAGAGGCAGGAGAAGGACGTGTGTGGGCTTCTGGAATCCAGCTGGTTCAGGCCAGACTGCCCGGGGCTTGATAGAGTCTGAGTCACACAGAGAAGCACAGGTTCCCGCAGCCGGGCGGGGGGGGGGGGTGGATGCCCCCACCCCACCCCCTGCCCCGCTTCCCAGGACACACTCGACCTGAAAGCCCAGCCCCTACCTGGCATTCAGAGCCCCTGTCCGTTTCCGTCCTACAGCCAGTCAAGCCACCAGTCTGTCTGCTGGTGACGCCGATAGCAGCCAGGGCAGGGTCACCAAACCCTGGCCAAGCTGTTGTGATCCAAGGTCTGAGAACAGCAGGCTTTCTGGGCACCTGTCCTTGCCGACCCAACCCTGGCTGTGATTTCCCAGGGTGCCTGCGCCTGCCAGCAAGGATTCAAGGTGAAGATCGTGACTTAACCCTACAGGGGAGGCAGGCCACGCCCGGGCTGTGGGAAAGAGCCCAGCTCTCTCTAGCTCAGTGTATTTGAGGCACAGAGCGTCACGGGCCCTGAGCCAGATTCAGATCCTGGAAGGCTATCCTTCCTACCCAGCCCACTTCAGGAAAGGGTGTCGAGGAGAAAGGATCTTGGAGGGCTGGGGCCCATTGAGAGAGGAGCCCCCATTCTTTGCTGGCTGTGTCCTACAGCAGCCACACCTGCATGACAGGGTGGGACCCTGCTGAATTCTTTCCCACCACCCCTGACTTCCCAAAGTGCTTTCCCCCTCTGGCTGTCTCCCCTCCCAGCAACGACCCCAACCCAACCCCTGAATCCCGTGAAAGGAGGGACAGCATACTGGCCGGATGCCAAGGTGCCCCAGGGTGCTCACATCCCTGGATCTAAGCCAAATGCCACAGTGGCAGAGCGCGCCTCTTAGACAGTGCCCCTGCCCACACACAGTGCGCTTGCTCAATGTGCAAACCCAGATTCACACCCCACACCCTGAGAGGCTAGGGGAGACTTCCAGGATTCCCAGCAGAGCCTAGTCTGGCTCTCCTTAGAGACAAGATCAACATCATTTATTAAGAGCCCATTAAGGGAACCCACAGCCCTGCCCTGGAGGAGGTTCCAGCGTGCTGGCACGGCCCAGACAAGCCACGCGCAATCTAAGCCCATTTACAAAAGTCTTGGAGACACTCATACAGTGAAGATAAACATATTAAGATAAATGAATGCCGCACACACGGAATCCTAGCCGACTGAGGATACGCAGTGATGAGGTGTTTAGAGCTGGGTGGAGTTAATTAGGGAAGACAAGTCTTGAGCAGAACTTACAAATAATTGGCAGAGAACTGGATGGGCACCCCAGAATGTCCTGGTGGTTGTTTGGAGCATAGCTTGTGTGGTCCGACAGGTCTAGCCTCAAAGCCCCATGTTGCCATTTGTTAGTTTTGCAATGGTGGCAGGTCATTTGCTCTCCTTGGGTGTAAGGGCCTTCATCTATAAAATAGAGGTATAGTTACCACTTCATGGTGTTATGGAAATTAACTAGGTTAATATACACTCATCTTAGTCCAGAGCCCGACTCTTTTTTTTTTTAAGATTTATTTTATTTATCTGAAAGGCAGAGTTACAGACAGAGGGAGAACTAGAGACCTTGCATCTACTGGCTCACTCCCCAGATGGCCATAATGGCCAGGGCTGGGAGCTTCATCCAGGTCTCCCACGTGGGTGCAGGGGCACAAGCACTTGGGCCATCTTCTGCTGCTTTCCCAGGCACATTAGCAGGGAGCTGGATCGAAGTGGAGAAGCCAGGACTCAAACTGGCACCCATATGGGATGCTGGCACTGCAGGTGGCAGCTTAACCCATTACACACAATGCCTGACATTTAATGAGAACTGATCAGTGGCAGTTTTTAAAGCAGATGATAAGAGCTGATTAATGGTTGCTAGCAGGGGTCAGAGAGGCATGAGTGTGGGTGGGTGACAATGGAGGGAGCTCATGACAGGCGGCATGACTGACAGGCTACCTGGGGCTTCTGGGCTGGAGGCAAGAGTCAGCTGCTCTAGCTGTTCGAGAGGACTGGCGTGCTGGGACACAGCATGCCACAGACAGCAGAGAAGGAAGCTTAGAGAAAAAGGCTGTTGCAGCCTGTGCAGGCTCCAGGTCAGGTCAGAGACTGGGTGAGGACAGTGACCGTGGCACTCACGCCTCGCCCGGCCCAGCCTCGCTGATCACAGGCAGAATGCCCTGCCCCACAGCTCCTGCCTGCTGCCTCTTCCTTGCCACTGGCTGGCACACAGGGGCTGCCCGTCCTGCTCCCCTCTCCCTAGCACAGCTTGCCTAGGGTGCAGCCCATACCTGCGTCCGGGACCGATCCCCACGTGGCAGCGGGTGTGCATGCGGGGATGAGCGCAGCTAGGGGGAGCAGGAGCCCACAGATGAGTAACAGCACACACTGCTGCCTCTCTGAGTATTTTAAAATGCTAAAAATACTGGCTAAAAATAGCCAGCAAGCTCCAAACAAGATCATTTCTCTAGGCAGATTCCTGCGCCTCCCTGTTAGGTGGAGGGGCAGCGCAGCAGAAGTCAAAGCCTACGATCCTTGCTCTTCCGACCCAAGCACTGCTCGGGGTCCAAGGACAACACTCGCCCCACACCTGCCGAGCACCTGCTTCCCCACCATTGTGTGCCTCCCCCAGCCCCTCCCCAAAGCAAGGCGCATCTGCGGTTCTGTAAGAGATGTGGTTTTGTAATTGGTGACAAGAGGCCGGGCTGGGCTCTTTGCTGCAGCCAAAAGGGACGGTGACCTATTGTCCTGCTCCAAAAGGGCCAAACGAGGACCCGAGAGAGGAGAGGAGGGAGAGGTCAGCCCCCATGCCCTGGGAATCATGAGGATCTGAGCCCACCCTCAATGCCGGACAGGAGCGTGCGCCTACTCACAGGTTGCCCTGAAAACAGCACAGAGCTGGTTCTCAAAGCCCCTAGAAGTGAGTTCTCCTATGCGAGCTCGGTAGAAGCTCGTCCATTTGAGAAGGTGTCCTCTGCCGTCCCCTAAAGTGTGTGCCTCAAGTCCCAGCCCAGCCCCGAGCCTTGCGCCCCTCACCTTCGGTGCCCCCCACCTCCCCCGTCCTGCCTCCCGCAGGGGGCCGCTGCTTTTTGCCGAGGCCAGCTCGGGGGTCGCGGGGCTCTGGCAGGACCCGAGGCCCGCGCGGGGCGGAGCGGGGCGGGCCCAGCCGCCTCGTGAAGGGAAGGGGCATTGGAGGCGAAAAAACATTATTTGTTAAGGATTTCGGGTAAGGAATATTATAAGAAGGGTTAATGTAAAGTTTGCATGATTCGAGTGTCCTTTCTCGGGTAATGACGATTGTAAGAATGGCTCTTCTATTTTATTATTTTAATGTATTGGACCCTCGGTCGTCTTAAACCGTGGGTCACTGAGATATTTAGAGGTAAGAAAGGTCGTGATTACACTAATATTTAGTGTGTGTAGGATAAGGAGAATAAGTGTGCGTAGAGACAATGCGAAGAAAGA